TGGCTGTTCTACGCATGCGTACACAGAAAGCAGTACGCGAATCAGGCAGAGAGAATAGCACTGTCGCTCTTGCAGTGCCGAAATTCTGGTATGTTGTTGGAAACGTAATCTTTTACTCCACGCGTGTGGTATTTCTCCACAAGGAGGAACTTCATCATACGGATCATAAACAGAGTTCATGAAAATTTGCAACCTTTAAAAATTGCCTTACTGAAATTCAATCAACATCAAATGCAAAACAACAATAAATGAAACAATTGTTCCTATTGCAAAAGCAACAGGAATTTTAAAATATCTAAATGGTGTTAACTTCAAGTTTTGGTTAGAGCTTTCTTATCAGATGCCTCATGTTGAAATAATATACAACTAAATGCAATCCAGAGAAATTAATGTGTTTAAAGTTAACGAATATATATAACAAATTTCAAAACTGCTATTTTAGAATTAAGAATTTCAAAGTACTGTGAGAATTTCTGAAAGACACTGATGGCAGAAGCTAAGGAAATACGTGACTTTATAACTATGTATTGATATAATGCACAGATATTCTTCCACTAAACACTTAACAGCTGCTAAATTGTTAAACAAGAAATGTTTCGCTAGTTTTAGGAATGAACATTCTACAGAAGAAATAGTACTGACCACTGAAGCATATCCAATAATTGACAAAAAAAAAAAAAAAAAAAAAAAAAGCTTGAAACTGAGCTAAAAGTATTCTGTTGTAGGTCTGATATCCATGAATACTGCAAATTAATTGAGCTAATGAAATTTATCTTCGAAAATAATCTAGATGATGTTCTTAGTGAAATTACGAAGCTGATAAAAATTCTCTTGAGAGTTCTCATGACTACATCAGAGGCAGAACGCTGCTTTTCGACATTGAAAAGAATGAAAACTTTTCTAAGAAGCTCTAGGAATTCGGAAAGACTAAATGCGCTTGCATGGCTTTCAATAAAGAAAAATTTCCTCAGTTGTCATCCAGAGATCAAGAAGAAAATTATTGATCTTTTCGCTCAAATTAAAACAAGAAGAATGGATTTCATTTTTAAATGAATAGACAAACACTGAACTGTAACAATTTTGGTTTTTTTTCTTGTAAGATTTCATGAAGTGTCAAAATAAATTTTATTTTTATAAATGTTTGTTTTCTTTTGGACAATTTTAAAACAAAGGTTAAATTTTTTTTGAACAGCACCCACACTAATTTTAACCACGAGCCGCCACTGGTTTAGAACGTTTAGAACGAAACATTTTGGGACATGCATTCAGTTTAAAATTTTTCCTCAAGAATGAAGTATCTAAGAAAGGGAGTGAGATTCGAAAATTATTTCTTCCTTTCCAAATATTTTTTTCTGTAGTGACAAATGGTTGCGATTTGTTTGTCTTAAAATTGTTGCTTCGACTTTTTGCGATGTCTAAAAGAAAAATGAAAGAGTAAGTGAAAGTGAATCATATAGCAGTGAAAAGAAACCTATCGTGTGGCTTTATACAAAAATTCGAATAATAGTGTTGAGTAACAGTCGAGATTTTTCAGAAAGATACTTATAAACAAAATTACATTTTCAAATTCTGATTCGAATACTGATAAGTGCAATAATAATAAATGTGATGTGGATACTACTGATCATATTTTACAAGAACTGGTTGTTTAGGGAGAAAGAAAAATTTATACTGAAGAAAGCATATTTCAGTTCAGTGAATGGAATTAATTTAGCTGTTGGCAACAATCATTTTTGTTTCTTTCTTTCAGCAATCAACAGTCATTTTTTCAATCATCTGCTTTACCTCGTAAGAACCCAAAGGACTGTCAGCCGAATACGGATGACGCGGCCTAATCAGAATTTTTGCCATCATCCGAATACGGGTGACACGACAATCAAAGGGTTCAAAAAATTGTTTTGCGCCGCTTTCTAGATAACTAGTCAACCTAGATTATTTAATTCGGATCACTTTTAATTTACGAGTTTTTAATCATCAAATTACTTTTAATTTATTTGCCTAAGTTTAATATTTGTGTTATACCTCTACAGTCTTTTCTTATGGCAACGTACCTTTTACTGAAGGACGTACCCCTAACAGCATTAAAATAAGCTACAGAAAAATGGCACTATAATAATCTTCTACTGCTGTTTTTTCAAACGCCATTTCATCAGCCTATACCGAAAGAGACTCCTAGTTACTAGCCCTAAGTTATATAATTGGCGCACGATGTCCAGTTTTCACACAATAGCCTTATTCAGCTCTTACTACCCCTTTATTAAAAATGTCGTTGCCTCTTTTGACAATGAGATTACTGACGTCACTCTCGTGGATTTGTAATTTTCATTGATTATAATAGTAACAGGTTTTCCAGACAAGAGGACAAGGTGCATAATGCCTTTTTAAATCTTTTTAAATTTTTAAATCTCACGCTCTTTGACACACAGCTTATCGCATCGTATTTAGTTAGTTATTAATTTTTAAATTAAGAAAATCTTTTGCGAACATTTATACTTGTCCAAATACAATTTATACCATTCTAATTTCTAGATTAGCTCATTTACGTTTCATTTATTTTTTTATTTTTGATTATACAGTTTTTAAGGATTTAAATTGTTGCAGAATAAATTAAAATTCTTTTCTTAAATGTAACGAAGACAAATTCAAAATCTTAATTCATTTTACAAAAATTTTAAAATATAAAATAAATCTACGATCCGTGTTTCATTGAATTATTAACAAAACACAAAAATTTTCCTTAATTATTTAACTAGTTATATTATAAGGTATTCTCTCCCTCCTTTCAGCATGCCTTCCTGGTGTAACGGTCAACACACTCGGCGCGTATTCGAGAGATACAGATTCGAGTCCCGGCGAGGGTATTGCTCATTTTTTACTTTGCTGCTTCAAAATATCCTAATGTCTTTAGACTGGTTCCCGAACTAATAAAAAGTGGTGGATGATGATTCTTAACCACAAGAATTTGACGACTGTGTACCCTAATCCCCATTCTCCCTTTAAAAGGGAGAGTTTCTCCTGCTTCAAAAAAAAAAAAAAAAAAAAAAAAAACCTATTGACTCTGAAATATTACCATTAATAATAAGCAATTTTGAAATTATCTTCTTGACTGATATATTGTAAGTTAAGTCTTACAAAATACAGCCACAGAACTAAATGAATCCCAAAATTTGTAATCTTTATCAAAATAATTTTTTCAAGAAACTAAAATTCTCAGTACACGGAAAAGAACGTGAGTGTAATTATTTCTCTGGGAATCAAATGAGTTAACAACTTTAAAATCCAGGAATGTCATCTGAAAGGTATTCAAGCTTCCTTATCCTACCCCCCCGGGCCGGAAAAAAAAACTTTTCCATTTATTGCAATATCATCTGAATAATATTGCTTTTTAAATAATGTGATGTTTTTTCCTAGTTCAGAGATTACTCGTTTTCATTCAAAATAGTTCATTTTAATGCTCCTGATTTATGACAATAATTTTTGTCAGATTCAATAACGAAAGGTAAAACTGATAATTTTTAATTTAGGCAAAGTTATTGCTTTTAAATCATTTAACTAATTTGCCATTAAACAACATTTGGAGAAATGCAAGTTAAAAATCAATAGTTTAAAAATACTTCAAAAAAAAAAAAAAAAAAAAAAAAAAAAAAAAAAGACTAATTTATATAAAAGGAATTTGGCAAATGTCGCATAAATAACCATCAACTTCTTCTTTCAGTTGTTGTGGTCAGGAGCACCATCAGTATCACTGGAGTCACTAACGTATGTCATCATTTAAAAATTCTGAAAAGTTTGCATCAGATTAATTTCTCAAAAATCATTTGAGATATTCGTTTGCTTTGAAATTTATTGGCACTTTTAACAAATATAATTCCCGCTTTTATTTTTTATTGTTCATTTTTTATTTTATTTTAAACACTTTCAAAAACTTTTTTGTAACACAAATGTTAAATCAAGGACTTTTTTCCCCACCATAATCCTCTAATAATGGCAATGGGCCACATTCATCACTGAGCGGATACTTATTTACGTTCGTTAGTAATCATAGTGGATGTAGATAAGTATCTTCTTTCATTTTTTAGTAAATTAAGCTAGAAGGCAAATTCTTGGATATGGCATATTCTCAAAGTGGATAAAAAATTCATAAGGTAGCATTTCTGTATATAATACACAGTAATTCTTTTCTTCACAAAATATCTAATTACGTATAAGAACTGAATTACTGTAAAGTGGAGACTTGGAAATGAAAAAAAAAATGGAAACGACTGATTCACTAATTCAGTTTATTTGATAATGCATCTAAAATTTAATGTATTGAATAAAAAAATAGATTATACAATGATATATTGCACGCTGTAATTAGATTTTTGTTAGACAATTATTTAAAAGAAACTTTTTTTTCTTAAAAGGCTAAAAATTAGCGTTTAGGAATTTACTTAAATTTTTCGATTGCACGAGCATATCCGGAAAACAATATAATGAATATATAACAATGTCTTACTATTATTGTAATGTAGAAGAACGAATTATTATTTTTGTTATGTATGAAACAGAAAAATATTCGGTAAATAGAAAACGAAAAAAATTCTAAAGAACTAAATGCAAGTACATATGCCAAGCACGCCGGTTTCTGAATACGTTATTCTTTTGGTCATTTTCACTTTAATGAGAAGTATGAAGTCAATAATCCTCTTTTCTCTTGCATTGTTTCGTATTTGGTATCCTTAAAAATATGCCTTTGTTTTTTATTGCATTATTTTTTATATAAAGTGTGTTATTTAGCTTAAGTACACATTAGCATGTTATTTACTTTCGGCACACCTTTCACAGTGAGCTATTTATATTCATCTGTTGTTAAAATAAAAATGAAATAAGGTTTAAAAAAGACTGGAATTTGCATTTTTACTATATTCAGTTTTCCGAATTACTTTTCCTAGCCTCTAAAATTGCGTTAGCGATTTAGTTTAAATTTTACAGCAGCTGTTTAAATGAAACCAGATGTACACAAATGATCAATTTTAATTTATTATGTTTATTTTTTTGCAAAGAAAACAAAAAATACAAGAAAACATTCTTGTATAGTTCGAAGGCATTGTTTGTAATAGGCTTAAGAGGTTATGACAGTCTTTTTATCAACGCAAGTGAAATTTGCATTACACATAATTCCCATTTTCCCATTTCCTTTCTTCAAAGAGATGAGCTTCTTTTCTTTTCCTAGAAGAAGAAGAATACAAATAAATATGAGAAAAATAAGGAGCTGTATAAAAAATATATAAATAATATTCAATTAATATAAGAAGCCCCGATATTCCTTTGTCTTATTTGTCCTATCAACAGGCACCTAAAGCTTCCACTTAAATTTAATAACTCCCTAAAAAGGCTTTATTAATCAAGCTGAGTAAACAGTCATCGAAATGATATCTTGAAAAATGATGCATTGAATATAAGGGCACGAATAAAATTTCTTTTCCTAACTTTTATTCAGTTGCCTTCGTAAAACAAACACAAAGGCAAAATCGTTCACTAACCTTAACCCAAAACTATATTATATTTTTTCTGCTTAGATTTAGTCAACATTTAATTATAAAGAGTACAGTTCATTTTGCTAGACTTAGAGCCACTTTTTTCTGTCTTCAAAATACCTTTCCACTTATTTATCTTACATAAATCTCGCAAATTATAAATTCTTCCAAGAAAGATTTGAAATTTAAACTAAGTGCCTCATGGAAGCTTTTGAAACTACTGGCGATGGATTAAAACTCGAAAAAATATTCGAAGTGACTGGTCACCAGCTTCAAATTAGGGCACACTTCTGTAAGTAATACACTGTGTACTTGAGTATCAGTTGGATTTTAGATATTTATAGTGACTCCCGTGATAAGAATAAAGTTTTATGAAATAAAGGGATACCGCCGATATCGCGCACAACCAGGATTTACTCCGACTTCAGTGTAGTTAAAGATAATTTTCTCCTTTAACAGAGGGGCCTTTGTTCTTTAAAAACATTCGTGGGTTGTGAGAAAATACAAAATGAAACAAAATCTGTCCACCATCATTCAGACAGATAACCGAAAAAATGACTACCTGCATTGATGCGATAGTAATAACATATAAGGTCTTTTTTTTTTTTTTTTTTTTTTTTTTTTTTTTTTTTTTTTTTTTTTTTTTTTTTTTTAATTTTCTAACTAGTTGTTTTAAGTTGCTTTCCTATAAATCCTCGTTTTATTTCCCTGCCAGAATGTAAATTTCCAGAGCGCGCGATATTCAAATTAGGCAGAATGAAGTAATTATTTAATGGAAGATTATGGAGAGTGAAATGAGGGCGTATTCTGTCTGCTTGAAGGCTACTTTCCTAACTTTGATTCTCTCGATTAGAATTTTGCGGCGTTGAATTATCGTTGCCATTAGGCTTGTTTACGTAGGCTCCGATGAGAGCCAGCTTGCGCGCTAATTATATTGTGAAGCCGTTAGGCTATACTTCATTAATGTTTGTTTATCCGTTATCTTTGATTTAAGTCACAAGTATTCACGAGTAAGCACGAGTTGGTGCCATTTGTTAAACTTTATTTGGATTAATAAAAGGGATTAATAAATACACCCTTTCCCTGTTTCTACGGTATTTATAAGACACAGTGAGAATTCACTAGCTGTCGTTTTAGAGTTCTGATCTAATTGTATGCTTCTTAAGATGACTTGATCTTATAAAGCCTTGTAGAAAGCGAAAGCAGTGCAAGTCTCCAATCTGTTGACACCGAGGTTTTACAAGTTACAAGGTTTTCCCAGCACAGTGTGTTGAAATCTATTTTTCATCGGGAACAAGCATTTGAAATATCGACCGAATTTAGTGGGATCAAGTGCCATCCAAAATGAAAATCTGTTCAGTTCAAGTCTGTTAGATTCTTGTCTCAGATAAAAGGGAGACTGTAGCTTCGACTGATACTCATAAATTTGTTAGTTCTGTTAGATTCCAATTTAAGTTGAAATTTAGAGTCTCTTAGATATCTATCTCAGTAGAAAGTAAGAATTTGCACAGCCTCGCTGAAACTCGAAATAAATAAAATTGATTAGTTCTATAAGGTTCGAGTCTCATTCAAAGCCAAAACTTCACGAAGTTTTGTTTAATTTTATTATTTCGGATCGGTCTGTAATTCTTGTCTTTAATTAAAGACGTGCTTTTTTTTCATTCTTTATTGAATTCATATTATTTCTCTATATTCTTCTTTCAACATTTGCCATGGTCATTTCGTAACATAAAAGCACAAGAAATTAATTTTCATTTCTTTCTTATTTAAAATCTTGATTCTAGACCAAATTAGAAAATAAGGCTTGAGGTCAAAGTAAGGCAAGACACAAAAAATTAGCTTCTGTTGGATGAGGTTTAAAGGATACAAAAATTTCATTCTACTCTGCGCAGTTTGTACAATAAAGATTACACGAATCTTATAAAAGGCATAATCCTCTCTAAAACTGCATGTAGTATAAAAGCTAAAAGAATATATCATAAAATAACATTAATTAATCATATACTAAACACAGCAGGTCGATAATTTGACATTGAACGTAAAGCAAAAATTTAAGTAAAACTGCAAAAACAAAATTCTAAATATATAAGAACAATAATATATGAGACAATAATATATAATATATAAGGATATAAGAACAATAATGCATGCTTCTTGAAATCAGTTCATGATATCTGATGATGAAAAATAACTGAACAGGTTTGAATAGTATTCCTTAATGCAATTTTCTACTGTTATTGGCATTTTTGTTAATGTATTAGTGAGAATTTAAATAACGTAGTAGAAGCTTATTTCTTTCATATTAAATTATGTAATTTTCGGCCATTATATTCAAGCTTAATCATACTATCTGCATTCAAATTCACAAACTGTATTAATGTGAGAGATGAACAGCAGCAGCTTCAGATACTCCTATAACTCCGTTATAGCAACCACAGGGATATTATCTTCAATCACAATGAGGCGTGGTGGTTGAAAGATGATCTTGCTCCATTGATAGTACACAATAATGCGCTCTAAATGATGGATTAGCAATAAAAATGCTTAATAATACATGCAGAACTGTGATTTAGTATTTGCTCGTATTTAGATATTTGATAGATGAGTTTACCGTAACAGAACAGCTGATTCCCCACAATATGTGCCTTGGATCGTTACACATTTTTCATAAATGAACATTGATTATCTCAACACTTACAATAACAACTATATGAGTTTGGGTGTATATGATTAGATGTCTGAAAGCGCTTAAATGCGCAAAAGTTTTTTTAAAAAAATCTGAAAACCTTCAGATTTTATATTACGCTTAAAGGTGCGTTTTTTTAACGCACACATACAAATTTCGAAAGAATTCGAGCTAAAATATTTAAAAGCATCATATCTCTATAATTTCCGGTAGACAGCCTCGCGAGCTGGAGATTAAAAAGTTTTATTTTCTACAGTGCTGCCACTGCTCCCTTTGAAATTGTTGAGTTTGTTTATCAGAAATTCGTTGAAGTTTTACAAAATATGAAATATAAAGTTCGATATTTAAAATTCTGGCTTTCAGGTGCACATGTTGGGATGGAGGACTGCTTTATCCAAAATTTGATGGCTCTCGGTGCCGTCGTTTTCACGGTGCAAGGAACATAAACGCAGATTTCTTCTATATTTAATATCTTTAAAAATAATACAAAGCGGTAATATTTAAAGGCAAAATTTTAAAAGTGTTAAGCGTTTCAACGTAAAATGACATTTCGAAGCTGCACATTTGAGTTAAATTCCTTTTAGGCTAATGAGTTCGAGATTCACAATTTGGTCTTCGAGATGCCCATGTTCGGGTGAAGTGCTACGTGTATTAAAAATGCTGTGGCTCTGGGTGCCATCGTTTTTCCACAATGCAAGGAACAGTTATGCATACACACGGATATTTCATTATTTAATTTTTTATTTAAATAATGCATAGCGATAATATTTGGTGGGAACAGTTTGGAAAGTGATACGAACGAAAAGGTTATGCGACAAAAAGCCAGTTTCCAGTCTAACAGGGCCTCTGGTGCTAATAAAAAAAAATGGAATCCAATAATAAATAATAGCAAAGATTTTTAAATGAGTTTCCAATGGGTAATTCGTAAAGGTGAAATTTAGTAAGAAAAATATCACATTCATTTGTGAAATTGTCGGTTATTCTGCTACTTCTTAAACATCTGTCTGACATCCTACGAGAATTCTAAGACTGAGATAAAATGATTACGAATATACTATTAAGTGGAACTACGAGCGCGCTAAGATAGCACGACTCGAATACAGATGTTAGTCAGAGATAAATGTAGCTCCTTTGAACCTTTAAGTCGAATATTCAGAATATTACCAGTTATTGAAATTTTTATTCTGACTTCTGTTTTATAAATTAATCTTCCAAAAATGATACAATGCACCAAATTTCTGGATATCAGGTTCTTTCTATTTATTAACAATTAGAGAAGTTTTTGTAAGAAATATCAAATCTCGTAACGGAAAGAAAATTTAATACAAAAATGAGCGTTCTTCGCTCGCTAACAAAAATTTTTGTCTAGTTATTTAAATCATTTTGGCCTATACTTTGAGTAATCAAAAAATTACATTTTGCATTTAATGATTTATAAATATATATATACTTATGATTTATACATATATATATATATACTTATGATATATATATATATATACTTATGATTTATAAATACATATATATTTTTATTAGAATGCCACAGCAGTCAGTATATGTATATATATATACTGCTGTGGCATTCAATTAAATATTAAAGAATTTCTAAATTTTTTCCTGTGATTGAGATAAAATCTTGAAATTTTATTGTCACAATTTCAAAAATCGTAAAACATTGCCTCGAAAGAAACAAAGACTGAAAATCTGGCAGATGATAAAAATGCTTTAGAATGTCGTTCGTTATAAGATATTACTATCCGTCCAAACTTTATATATTTCACCTATGTATTGTGATAAACTCATCTAATACCTTTATTTCATTCTAAATATGAGTTCTGATTATCCTTTAATGTAATCTGACTGTTTGAACAAAGAGTGCGAAAGTATATTCATGCAAGATGGAAGTGAATTTCCCAAAAGCATTGAATAAAAGCAATTTTTCCTTAAACAGGTCCTTTTCTCTTTGAGAACTTCCCTCGTGTGCTTTGAAATAATCCACATAAACCTTTCTAAAATCGTAACAAAAATACTCACGTAAAACTTCGTACGTCACACGAAACTTTAGAAATCTTCAAATTTTTGTTCAGCACATTAATTTACGATTTGATACACAAGGCAAATTTCAACTTAAAAATTTTTCACAAAAGGAACTCGCTGTCGCGACACGTTTTCGTGTAAAGGTTCATTGCTTTTTTTGAACTACGCGCAACAGTATTTCTTTATTCTTCCATTTACTCTTCACAAGCAACACTCACTTCAAAGCGCATATTTATATTTGATATTTCATCGCTTGTAATTACCACCACAAGCATACAAATCATTCTTCCTATTGTAGCTATATTTTTAGTTTAGCCCAATGCAGATAGTTTAGTTCAATAAAGTAATTTTTTAGTTTAATTTTGCATCACCTACTAAATTATAACCCAACGTTTGAGAACCTCATTAGCATAATATGTTTGCTGTCCATAAAACGTTAACTTATTGATAAAAATTAAAATAAACTTATATAAAAAGGCAGGAATCTTAGAATATATATATTGGTATTGAAAAAGGATTTTACGGATTTATTTAAATTGCTGCACTAATATATAAAGTCATATTCTTACTTTCATCCTGAATATCGTTGAAAAACAATTTGAATGTAAAATCGCAACAAGTCACAAAAAAGTAGTTTCCGTTTTTCGGAGAAATATGCAGAGTAGGTTTCCCATAGATTTGCTGGCGAAGAGTGGGAAATGTAAGAATCAATTTATGCAGAGTGTTTCCAGATCTCAAATCCCAGATTATTAACTCCTATAATAAGAAATTACAAAAAAAATTAGCATCTAGTTTAATGAAACATATAATAGCTAATGCCTCTAAATGTAGGCAAAAAATTCGCTAACTAGAAAATTTTGTAATCCAAATATTAAATTAAAACGATCAGATGTTCATAATATTTTGGCGTTTTCACTGTACTGAATTAAATTTAGTATTAATACAGATTTGCAACCTCTATACCGAAAGTTTAGTTTGAACGTATCCATAGTTACAGTGGGTTGTTGTCTCACATAAAACAGCTGTTACTGCTTTTCGAAGTAACTCATGTTGGTGGTAATGCACATCTGGTAACGGCTGGTCAAGTCCTAGAAACTCCTGGCGTAGTCGTCTTAAAGCATGTTCTTCAGCTGGGTCGTAACATTGCGTTGGATGTCTAAGATGTCCGAAAACTTCTGGCTCTTCGGGACTGATTTCAATTTGGAGAGCAAGAAAAAGTCTGGGTGGAGACAATTCTCAGGAGGAAGGGAGGAATTGTTTAGGATGAGACACTCGAGAGTCGAAGAACACCACAAGCATTGTCTTGATGCGGGATTTCTAACTTTGCAGCTTCTTGCTTTTCGGCAATCCTGGACCCCGCCATTTCATATCTGACGCTTGCCGGGATCGTTCCTTAAGCACTAGGTTTTATTAGGTTTCGATCGTTACGTCGATAAGCTTTCTAAAGGCAACAAGCCGAAGTTGCATTTGTTCCGGCGTGACAGTGTGACTCAAGAATCGGGAGAAAACTTTGCGTTTACCAAAATTGTGGTTCACTAGGAGGTGGGCCATCTCACAACCAATTCCCGCTTTTTCCGCTATCACTCACGGTGCCACACTACGATCCTAGGCCAAAATTTACTTCACTTTCTATATGTTGTGCTGGGTGCATGCAGTTCCAGGTCGACCACTTCGAGCCCAGTCTTCAGTGGTGTCCCGTCCTTCTCGGAAGCGTTAAAACTATTCAAACACGCACTTCAAGGTGGCAGAACGTTCTTCGTAAATTATTATAAGCATTTCTTGATCCTCTTTTGCTGATTTTTCATTTCGAAACAGAACAGCATATTCCCTCGCTGATCCATTTTGAGTTTCGACAGTACACACAATACCTTTACTCTACAATAAGCTATTTCCACAGGATAAAAATGCTCGGAATGCCACCGCTCGGGAACTAATTCAGAGCAGTCTTAACCTATCCGCCACAGGATCTGAAGGCTCCACACTCTTACGACCGTCAGCACTACGACGTCATTCACTTAACTTTCTAGACAGAAGTTGTATTTATTTCATATGTGCGACAGAGATACAAAATCAAATACAAAGCTTGCTGTCGTGCAGCAAATGGCCAATTTAATAGTCTCTGATACTATTTATATCTTTGTAGGCTATTTTTGCGTTCTTAATAGATGGAAAGCACTCAGAATTGATGATAACTTGATAACATTTATTTTTCGAAAGGAACACTTCACAGTTTTAGAACTTTCCACAAAATACTCGTGCAACTCTTCACAGTATCAGAGAGTACAATCAGTAATACACTTCATACTACTAGGAACGTTAAACACAATGCAAACGCATCTAAAGAGCAAAGCTAACACGGATATCTCAATGCTCTGAACTATAAACTATTGTTCCTCTGAAACTGATGCACTCCTCGGTCATGTATAGTTTTTCCCTAGCCACCGAGAAATCTCTAAAATTTCTATAAATTACTAGAAGGCATACGATGGCCAGATACGGTTACAGCTGCATATGGAATCAATTACAGTAATTCAGTTACAATGCCTATTAGAGTGATACAAAGAACGGACTAAAATATTGCTAAACTGGATGACTTTTGGCAATTTCCCGCCAAATTTGGGGACAAAAAGTAGTCGCCAAGACTGCCGCCAGCTCAGCGATATATTGCCAATTTAGTGAGATAACCCTTTACTCAATGTTAATTAGACTTGCCCGTGTATTCTTACTTTTCTAGCAAAGCATCGCCTCTTTAGAATTTTCATGTTACATTATACCCCCCGCCCACCTACATATGTAGAAAACTTGTAACTCTATATTTATCTAAATTTAACAATTCTTAAACGGATGTGCCTTATTTTGTATAACTTTCTACATTATTAAAAAAGTAGTACGATAAGCAGCAAACGAAAGGCTTAATTTCACTTGGCTTAAAATGATAGTTAATCAAATAGTTGGTAAAATGGTTGGTTGGCTTAAAATGATAGTAAATCAAATAGTTAAAAAAAATATTTAATCAAACAGTTGGTATTTCAGAAAACTGAAATTAGGGAAACTACAGTTTTATTATGTGTAGAATTAAAATAGAAAAATGCAAAAATCTAAACAATGCTAAGTATTTAAGTCGCTTCACCTCAATAACCAAAAACGAAACTTTTAACATCTACAGTTCACACTATTAACACCTTTATAGATAAGGTATTATGAATAGAATTATCTCGGATTATTTTATTGTGGTTTATCAATTACGGGCAACGTTATTGTAAAAGTTTATAAACATTGGAAATACGTGTATCACAAAACAACTCAAAATTTCTGCTTTCAGAGTGGTTATAAAGTACCAGATACTTTTATCACGTAGACGATTCTTTTTCTCACACGCAGAGCTAAAATTTTTAGAACCAGCAGCAGATAGCGCAGGTCTTTATTAACTCTATGTTGAATCTAAAGTTTTTTGCACTGGAGGAAATTAACTCATGGGTTTAATTTCTTTCAAATGATTATAGGGTACGTTTCAGATAAGTAAACGTCAGAATGAATAAAAAATCAAACAATTCTCAGTTGTAGTACATTACTTCACGGCATATGGCCAACAGTTTAGGCCAAGCACGGCTCTCCAACGTCCGAGCAGTTAAATGGCCGAAAACTGGTATCTTGGACCGGACTAGAATCCCGGGAAATAGGTTGAATACATAGATATTTTCGTGATTTTACCCCATGTGCAATATAGATACGAACTAGTTTCCCTTAAAAAATCCTGCACGAAAACATCCCTCCGACAAATAGCTTTCGAGTGCTGTGCCGTAATCAACTAAATTTTAGGCTAATTGCCTAAAATCCTCAAACAGTATTTTTCCCACCAGAGTTCTAGTTTTCTACATTTGTGCGTTCATTAATGTAAGACTAAATTTTGTACCATTTAATTTTAGCTAATGATTAAAATACCTGTATTTTACAATAGAAAATACCGGTTTCATGAAATAGCAAAGCAGCACGAAATGCCGGAATTGCAATCGCTATAGGGATCTGATACAGAAAAAATTAATTCGAACGTGTTTCGACCAGTTTAATACTAAGAAAAAAATTAAAGCCGATTGAAGCTATTCATACCTCCCTCTATTTAGAGTATTTTGAGATGCAAGCAAAATAATTGCATATTAATTATCCATTTATTCTTGTACATCGATTTAATTTGCTTATTGCTATATTTTCTATTTGAAATTTGGTAAGTGTTATTGATTATTGTAATTTAACTAACAGTATTAACTCCAAGTTAAATTCTTTATCTCTGCCAAACAATGTAATAAAATCACAGACTTAAGTATACAAGAATCTTTCATAAATTCTAATAGGTCTTTCTGTATCATGATTCAGTAACACTACCCTCCCAAGTGTTTAAAAAGGACCTTTTATTTGATAAAAAATATCAATTTCTTACCGCTTTGCATATAGACAAAAGAGTGTCCCCTTTGGAACAGATGCGTAAGTCGGAGACAACAGCCTTGTGACCTTCAAGAAGCATTACAGGATATCTGCAAAAGCTGACATCCCAAGTGCGAATAATGAAATCTCTGCTTCCTGTGACAATGATATTCAGAAGATTATTCAGGTCGAAACAAGTCACTCCCTATAGGGGGAAAAATGTCACATAAGTGGATTTCAAAAAGTACTTGCGCAAAATAACCTTCTTAAGTTACAAGTTTGAAAGCCGCTTATAAAAATAATAAACAGAACAAGTTCTGATTATGGATAAGCTCTAAACTGGCTGTGACCTTTCTTTAATGTTCTAGTTAAGATATAGACTTACAGATGACACGTAGACAAATAAAATAAAGGGGAAGAATAAAAACAAATTGGACACGGGGGGGGGGAATTGGCAATTTTTTCTTCTTAATTATTTTAGATCCAAAGGAGTATTCCATTTTAATGCGAATAAAAATTCTCAATAATAATTTTTGTTTAATTTGTTTTTACTTAGAATGCTACATTTTTTTAAATTTCTTCTTATAGTTTTTCATATGAAGACGTTGTGATAGAGTGGCATACAAAATTAAAGAATTATGGAAAAAAAAATTATTTAAATTACAGTATGAGTTATTTAAATTAAAAAAATCTGGTGTGTACACTTATGACTTCCTCGTACGGAATATTATATATACGCACTTTTTGCTGCACTTCATTTAAATTTATTTCCTCGAATTTCTTTAGAGATACATTTCTCGTTCAATTAATTCTGTTCTCAGTTGGAGCAATTAAAATAGTGTTTCTACGCAAAAACAAGCAATTTGGCCAGCAGGCAACAAGGCAGATTTTTCGGTGCAGAAAACTGAAAGTTTAATTTTGATCCCACTAGGCAAAAAGGCACTGAAAATGCAGAAACTGAATTCATTATTCCGCTAAGTTTCAAATTTAAACAAATATGGCTGCTATAGTAAATAAAAATTAGGCTTAGCCGCACTTAAGCAACATTTAAATTGTTGATAATTTTACAACTACTGCATGCAGATTACCTAAAGGCATAAAAATCTTAACCGTAAGATAAGAACAACTAAATTCAATCATTTTTAAAGAAAGAAAAAAAAAAAAAGGGAAATAAAAAAAGTGAGCTCACTCAGCGGAGTAACACAGTATATATATATTTATATATTTTTGGTGCAGCCATTTGCAACCAAAAAGGGAGGTGCACAACTACATATTATAGCAGTCCTATATACAAAATTTCAACTTTCTTAAGCTACTCGTTTTTGAGTTAAGCGAGATACATACATACGTACGTACGTACAGACGCCACGGAAAAAAATCTCCATTTTAAATCAGTTTCTAATTCTCTTGGGGTAAGAATCTTTTATTCTGTCCTTACGTACAGATGTCACGCCACAACATAGTTAAATTACATTCGATAGCGGTCAAGACGAATATTGTAGAAATATGATACCCGAAATTTTTTGTGGTTACAATACTTCCTTTACTTCGCACAAGGAAGTAAAAAGAATTAAAGCATTTATTGTAACTCAGAAATAGATGGGGAAAAATTTATTTCTAAGATCAAAAGCATATGGACGATTTTTGATTTTTTTTTTTTTTTAATTTAATGAATTTATTCTTAATTTTTTCCTAATTCTTTTAAATTTGAGGCCGAAAACAAGAAGAAAGATAATGCAAAAAAGACAATTTGTAAAAGATTTTTCCTTCCTTTCCGCCTGCCTTCGTGGTGCTACTGGAAGCATGCTGGATGCGTATTCAGGAAGCCCGGAGTTCGAATCCCGGTGAGGACAATACACATTCGTTTGATCTCGAAAAAACTCTTAATGGATCTACAATATTGGCGCTCGAACTAAAGACGGCAATTTGTCACCATCAGAATTTAACGACTGAGTCGCATTATCCCTAGTCGCCCTTTAAAAGAGGGAGTATGTAAGGTATTTTATCCCTCCTTTCCGCATACTTTCGTGGTGTAACTGGAAGAATGCCCTAAACGTATTCGAAAGGTCCGGAGTTCGAATCCTGGGGAATGCATAGCGCATTTCTTCAGTTTCCTGACTTCGAAAAATTCTAAAAAGTTTCGACAAATGTAAAATCTTATATATTGCATGAAAGACATGATAATATTGAAATTCTCAAAACTGTGTCTTTTAAGTACCTTTTATTACTTTTGTATTACATTCATTGTATTACCTCTTTTGATATTTCTATACAGTGGAAACTGCGATCACGAATGATTCGCTTTACGAATAACTCGGTTCATCAACAATTTATCACCTGAACTTAAACCGTTTTAAACGACAAATGATATTTCGAATTACGAATACTCAAGATGACAACACGATTTTCAGATGCGATTTTAGGCAACACAAAATTAATAGTCAGAAATATCTGTAAGCATCATTTTAGTCTTTTAGCACCTAAGTGCTTATGACGTTGTTTGCTACTGCCTTTATCAGGGTAATATTGTTACGTAAAAAGTTTGTCTCTTATCCCATTTAACGCTGTCTGGAGGATCAGAGTGTTAGGGTAATGTTTTTCTCTTTCTCTTATTCTGAAAACATTTCTTCCACTATCATTTGAGTTGCTCTTTCTGAAGTTGTTCTTTCTTGTCGATCGGATTTTTGCGGTGCTCTAGTAACTTCTCTAAATCTTTGTTCTTATTTTCTTAGCCTGCAGATACAATATCATGTATAACAAAAATGCCTTAAGTATCAAATTGTCAAAATCTCTGCCTGCAACTGAATCTGGCCATATTTTCCAAACCGAAGACATTTGCTGCACACTGCAAGATGTATGAGAAATAAGCAATGGAAAATTGCAGAAGGCTACTTGGATATAGATTACTTCGCTTTTTAAGATAACATGTTGCCCTCTTGAGTATTTTTAACTCGAGATACTCGTAGTAAGCTAAGACAGTTGATTTGTTCATGAAACGAATCATTCCTAAAGTGATCGAAGGCTCCATTGTAATGTAAAAATTTTTACTGAAAATTATATCAAACGGCCAACATCCAGATCTTAGTTTTACGCTGATATATTGAATATAGAATTAATAAAGATTCCCCATAATGATTCGTAGAGTAAAATCTTTTTAATCAGAATGACTTTTTCCTATTATTAGGACTATAAAATCCCATACATTAAATGGAATTTCCTGCTTTAGAAAGAAATACGTAGATAAAACAAGATGGATTGATAGAATAATGTAAAATTGATAAGTTAGACAATTATTTTAATGTTCAGACCATTTTGGGACAACCATTTGAATTTAAACCGATTAAGCAGATTTACAATGTAGTTTCTAGACCTAGAATTTTTTATGTCTCTCCAGCATTGACCATGATTAGAAGAGAGCGTCTCAGAAATTTTATCATATTTTTTATATGTGTTATTTCGCTTAGTAATAATCTTTCGAAGGCAAGAAGTTTCCGATTTCGAAAACTTGAATTTCAAAAATACATTTCTGCTCAAAAAATAAGCAGTAAAGGCAAAATACAGAATAAAACTAAACTATTGAATGTACATTGCATCAAATTGATCCAAGATGTTGGTGTGGCGTTATAAGACCACATAGCAAACAATAAAACAAAGCCATACAAAACCACACGTATTACGAAATTATTATACCAAAAAAAATATGTTTCGATTATCGCAAATGGATCTGAAGAATGTACACGGGTATGATATCCTCTATCTGAAATGCATGCTTGACAGCGACGAAGTAAGCTGGCAATAGTATCGTTGATTGCTTGTTGTGGCAGTAGCGCCCATTCCTGTAGTAATGTATATCGGAGCTCGCGGGGAAGTTGCCTGGCGGCACATTGCGACCTACTATTCATAATCCCAACATGTCCTACACATACTGTATGAAATTTAGGTCCTGTGATCTAGCAGGCGATGGCATATGTGGAATGGTTTAAATCTCCAGATAACGCCAGATCAATCTGTCGTCGGCTTGGAGTCTATGCGGGCTGACTTTATGGTCCATAAACATCGCTTCGGTACGCATAGCAGTGGTAAAAGGATGCACAGGAGGATTTTGATTTTGATTTCGTCGCGATATCGGACGGCTGTGACGAAACCACCAAGAATCACGCAGAAGTCGATATGTCCGTTCGTTGCTATCCCAGCCCATACAAGTAAGCCTACTACTCTCTCTTTCGAAGATTTTTGCACCCGATACCGTACCCCTGGCTCTCTCCATATCATTGCCCTCCAAGAATCGTTCTAGACTATAAATCGAGACTCATTCATAAAGAGTAAGTGGCCCCACTGGTTTTTGTGTCCATCTGCGATGTTCACAGACCCAATTCAACCGTGCTCTGACATACCATGGGGACAAAGGAACACAAATCGCAGGTCGTCGAGCGCACAGTCCACTTTCATGCAGTTGACACGACACAGTTTGTCGGGGTATGGGCCATCCTGCAGCAGCAGATTAATGTAACGCCAGGTTCATCTGATATCTCTTTCTCTTTCTTATCGCTCAGAGGTCTTTGACCCCTTCCTAAGCGAAGTTGAAAGATGAAGGCAGTTTTCGTCCCTTGAGTGGGCTTCTTATTCATTTCTGGCATTTAAACCCCTAACGGTCCTCGTTCTTTTACTTTAGCTATGCTCATCTCTTAATTATTCAGTTTTACTTAACGAAGTTGTGGAGGTAATTGCATTTATTTGCAAAGGTACTCCAGAAGTTAAAGCCTTGGGCCTTGGGCCAGCTTCATGCTGTTAATGATCTGCGGAGTCTTCCACATAGCAACAGGAAGCGATCGTCTGCCATTGTGATAATCTTCCAGCGTCCAGACCAACGTCTTCTACAGCGGTTTGAATCCTTTTAGTAACGATTCCACAGCCTATTGATTACAGTACGAAGCACATTCAGCTCTCTCGCAACAGCGGATTGTCTTGCACCAACTTGTAACATCCCAATAGTTCTCCAACGTATTTCATCGTGTATATGGTGTCGTAGACTCATGCTTTCCACTTTGCTACTTCGGATTACATGGAACTATTCGCTGCTTGCAAACTGACGCATAGGTCCGGCATGCCTCTTTATACGGCGTTGTGGTGCAACTGTGGGATTGCGTTTTACGCTAATTTTGGTTTCTTATTTGCATGCAATCTCTACCTCATATGTAAATTGTATAAAATTCCCATTTTTATATTCGTATCTTTTCTTTTACTTTTGTTACTTATTTTTTAGCACGATTGTATTTCCTATTCTGAGCGTCAAAAAGCATCTCAGTATATTTTGCTCATATGTAAATGAATGTACTATCGGTTTGCTAATCCGTCTTAAGGAAATAACCCTGAAATCTCTATATTCCTCCCGAAAGCCCTTGACTTGAAGAATTAATTCGAAAACGAAAGCATTGTTTAAATTTTACTAGTTTATTATTTGTTAATAAATAGATATTACGGAAGAAAATCTGAACAAATGCAGCAATAAATTATCATTATTAAGGTAACTGATTAGTCTGGTTACTTTGTTCAGTCCTTCCATTTGTATCCCAGTTGTGCTTTGCAGGAATATGTTCTCCTTCTAACATGGCATGCATTTAATATGAAGGTAAAAAAAAAAATTGTTTGTTCGGTAACAGATGCTCATTGATAAACATATCTAACTAGAGTAGATAAATACATTTGCCCGGAAGACCTAAACTGATAACGAGTTGAACAGAACATGCAATAATAAAAGCCTTTATCAGCTAAAAAGGAACTGGAACTCTTTCGTAAAATGTTACACTTATAATCAGCAAGTTGATGGGAAAAATGTCTGTATTTACAATTCTCGCGTACAAAAGGCTAATTTTCTAATATCTTTTACAGCTTTTATTTTAAACAGAATATCTTCCATTCAAAGTTATAACTCATGTCTTAAAATTCATGTTAAGTATAATTTTTTGGATGTAAAAGGAAACAGTAAGTGAATTTACCTTTATATGTCTGTAAGTTTTCGAAGAAGGCACTGTCGAAATATCTTGCAAGACCAAAGGATTTAGCGTATCTAGTTTCGAATTTGAAATCAAGAAATCATGCTGTGGTATGTGCTGAATTTTATCGATAACATCCCAGTGTACCCTGGAGACCTTCCTGTATTTTATGTAGCTCCTATGCTTCTTTAAATCCTTATTAAAAGAAGCATTTTTAATAATGAATAATAAACTTTAAGAAAAGGTTACTAAGATTTTAGTAAAAGTATTAATAAATACATAACAGAAAAATGCAAAAACCTCGTACCTCAAAACGAATTATTTGCGTGCCCAAAGAATAATCTCGTGCAAATAACATGGTAAGCGGGAAAAGAAAAGTTAATATGTAAACATTTCCTTTATGATCTCCGATGAACAACTGGCAGGTACTGCTTTTGTTCTGTAATTACAGAAACATAATTATTAAATAAAATTTACAGCTCGATTGCATATAAGTAAAAAGATACTACAGTTAGCCTAACAAATTGAATGTTTATAGTCGCAGATTTTAAGTAACAATTATATTAATATATGTAATTATTAAAAGAAGTTTTCGGCTTCTGTGCAAGTAAATGAAAAAGAAAATGCAAAGAATATAGTAAACTCAATATTTCATATTTTATTAAAGAAGTATTTCAAAGAAAGAATAACTTACATAATTTCCTGACAAATATCACATTGCATGGTTACCGCACTGTAAATTAAGAAAGACTTAATAAAAATATAATCTTGCGAATTTTTTTAGCCTAAAGGTGCGTTAGCCCAGAAAGGCTATTAGTCTCGAAACAGCCTTTTGTGTAGAATCACTGAAAGCGTTGAATCACTTTTCAAATTATTCCCACTAAACACTATCGCCCTGAATTCTATTTAACGAAATTAAATAATGCAGAATTTGATGGAATTTATCCATGTTATACGCATTATGAAAAACAACGGTACCTAGAGTCATTAAATTTTAAATAACGTGGTCCTCCACCCGAAAATGGGCACCTACCTAGAAGCCCTAATTTTGAATTTCGAATTTGCTTTATAATGCATTTTATGTTTCGTAAAACTCTAACTAAGTTTTAATTAAAAAAACTCAAAGATTTCAAAGTTAGCAGTGGCAACACTTTCTGGAATGAAACCTTTTTATCTCCAGCACACGAGACTGTCTATCGGAAATATCAAAGCTATGCTGTTTTTAAATATTTTAGCCCAAATGCACTCGAAGCTTGTATGTGTGTGTAAATGAAACAAAATTGCCTCTTTGGGAGTAATATAAAATCTGAAAGCTTTCAGATTATTTTTTTTCCTTTTTTCTTTAAAATGATTTTTTAAGTTTTTCCTTCTGTTATGAAAGTCTATTTTTTAATTCCTGAAAAGGACTGTAAATCATTCATCTGTTTTAAGCATTTCATAAATTTTCATGTGTAGTATTAATTCTAAATGTTAAATATTAAACCAGAAAATCATTTAAGAAGCATCTAAAGGAAACATTAGATTTAACACTCTTTGCTTTACGCTAATTTAGATTATTTGCGCTTTTAAATATTTTCTAATACCTATAAGCTTAAAACGTTGCGCTAAAAATAAATTTATAGCTGCATTATTTTAACATGCGTTACATCTTCATAAGCTCTTCCCATATTTTCAAAAAATTAATTTTAACTAACTGGTTTTTTGTTAAAAATCTGTTCCATATTCCTTCAGTTTTATCTGTTTCCACTAGATTAGGTAAATAAGGAGTTTTAATTAAAGTAAATTATGTAAGTTAATACTGGCGTCGCCGGTGCCATGAAACATCTCTGGCAGTACCTGACGCACGTAGTAATTCTTTAAACTTCTGAGTTACCGTTTTACTCTGTGTTGCGCATTAGGTAATTATTCTTGAAATTTACTGAACCAATCGAATTTAACTTGTAAGTTGCACTTAATCTGAATTTACATGTTTTCTGTTATCTGCGCGAGAAGATGAAGTAACTTTGTATTAAATTTATTTTGTATTTCAAACTGAAGCCTATAATTAATTTTGGTTTATCTTATTTTATTCTTCTATTGAGCTCATTCGGTATTGAGAGATTGTAATCGAAACCAGAAAGAAAGCTTATCTGTCAGGCTTGAATGTAAGGCTAGTTTTAGTTTAAGGACAAATGAATTTAAACTTATAAGTTCAAACTAAAAATTCACTTACCGTCTTTTGAAAATTATTCTCAAGGCAAGTCGGAACAGTGGGAAACTCTGAAATAAGCCAAACGTTATTTAATATGTTGGAATGATCTTCAAAAGACAAGTTTGAAAAGCAGTTATGTATATTCACAATCATTAAATTTTTAAATAGAATGGCGTAAAATTTACATAGCCAACAAGACGCATGCAAATTATAAAAAGCAAGAAAAAATTTTTAGACTTATACATATCTACATTTATCAAAAAAGGGAAGATAGATAAGCAGTCTGCTTCATTTGTACCTTCGCTTTACATCCAAGTAAAACCAAAATAACGAACAAAAATATCAGCAATAAAGAGATAATCTTCAGAAACTTTCGATGAATATTCTCTGCGGGTTAATATTAGTAGAAAACAGCGTAGAATTTAGTAAAGTTTAATTGCTATGAAAGCTTCATAATCTTGCTTAAGTTACTAATAAGCGCGAATTAAAAATACAAAAGACATTCGAAAAACTTTGAAAGAACCGTTTTCAGTAATATTGTCTTCCTTTAGTATCTGCAAAGATTTATAGAAACTACAAGATTTGTTAATACTGAACTAAAAGAAAATTGGATTATATTATTTATTTTTAAGATTTCTAAGTTTCAAGCTGAAATAAAGCTTTCAAACGTTTATCGCATCTTTGCAGCAACCAAACGCTAACACTTCAAGATTAAATTCGAAAACTTTCCAATTTAATAACAGAATTCAATTTTATACTCAACGCAGATTACGAAAAAAGGAACATATTTTAGCGCGGAAGAAATGCGTCTCGAAAGTAAAGTTGAATATTTGGCAAATGCATTAAATATTCACATAAATCTTCACACCATACTTGAAGGCTTTTAAAAAATCGCATAAAAGATGTAGACGCAATTTTAAAAGTATTTTTAGAAGAATTTAAATTGGATTTATTACAGAAGAGCGCTCGAAAAGGGGTGGATATAATCCAGTACTGGTATTTGTTAGATAAACTTTTCATAACTTTTAGTGTAAATTAGTATTCTTTTCTCATAAGATCTATGATTTTTTCAGAGTTGAAAATGAAAGGTAATTGCTTCCAGTTATTTTTAATTTTAAGCAAGAGACACTGAAACGTTTCATAAAAATAGAAATGATTTTTCAGTGCCATTTTGGATGAAATTCAAACTCACTTCAATTTAAATAATTACTCGGAATTTTCTCTTTATTCTGGTATTTAAAATAAGAATGACTCTGTAATGATTTTTTCTTAACACTTTCTTTGCTGAGAAACTAAATTCTCATTTTTTTAAAGATGCGTATTTTTATTCACAAGCGTATCTTTTAGTCGTACTAAATTACAAAAAGGAACATATGTAAAAAATGCATTTAGTATAATGGCGATTATCTCTGTCAAAAATTTCACCAATTCGAAAACTACGCAAATAAAATTAATATCTTAAATTATTTATACAAGTATTATGTTTTAACACGCATGCTAAAATGTCATCTCTTTTATGTTAAGAGTAAATCTTCGTAACAAAAGTGTTGAATTTAACTTTCGTTCCTTAATATAGAATGGGACGGAGGGAAATGAGTTATGTAACACTTGGTTCTTAACTCTAACTCTTTAATCACGTTGCTATTCTTGGCTAAGCTCCGATTGCATCATCAAAGTTTTCGTTAAACGCAGAGTTTACAATTCAACATTGTTGAATCATCACACACATACCTGACAATACCTAAAACATTTTCTAGTAGCACGGTTATATCACTAGTCTGTCAGTTACGCAAATGAAAACAATGACAACTAAGAAATTTCTGTTAGAAGTAGCATAGGCAAGCAAAGTTTGCAATGTAGAATACGTTAGCTGCTAGGTGCTTGTTCTGTTATTATTATTTAAATTAACCAATTATTTATAATTTCAGGCTTTACTAGAACTTTTCCTTTCCGTTACTTCGCCAGAATACAAATCAGTTAGCTTAGTATTTAAACTGAGGTTTTGGGATTGTAAGATTGAGGTGTTTTTGGCCTATGCGTGCACGTTGCGTTACCGTTCCTGCCAGCTCTGATAATTTGTAGTTATTCGGCTTTGCGTTACTGCTGCCGACATTTGAATTTCTTATGCCGGTAGAGTTACTGAGCCAGCTTCGTTTATATTTAAACTGAGCAGTCTCTGACTACGATCCCACGTTTTAAATTGAATTTGGCTGTTCCTGTTTAATTGCATCACTATGAGCCGTGGTTGATTTTTGTTAGCACAATAGGTTGCATTTATATTCTAAGTTTTGTTTAAATAAAAAGGTTTATTTAAACCTTTATTAGACATAGTAGCTACTTTCAGATATAGAGATAATTCGCTTCACGTTTGTTAGGGGTTTTGGACTATTTAACTTTTAGCAGATCAAGGTAAACTCCGTAGCTAGTTTATAATATGATATATATAATCTCAACCTATTAGGAAGTTAAATCTGTTGTTTTAGATTAACTGATATCGGAGAGTGAGCAAGGAAACGATAGAGCAAAGTAAACTTGTTAGTTTAAACTTAAAAGGCTTACAAAAAAATAATTTATTGATTGTTAATATTTATCTATAGTATAAGTTCTTTGCTTGCTTTTTAATAACGACTCATTTTAATTTGAAACTAATAAATGCGAATATTTTCATTCGGTAACATCTGATAACTTTCCACAGCAAAATTCTTTGTAAAACGGTACTCAGGAATAATTAACAGCTAAACAGGTATTCACCGGAAAAGATTTCCCTACGTTGATTTACTAGTTCTTGTAATTTCAGAATTATCATATAAAACGTTACTTCTTTAACTTTCACAAACATTGTAAAATTATGGTTTTCCCCCAATGAAATACGTCGTCTTGCGTAGTTGTTATTTAAAACCCGGGTGTTTTTCTCAACAGTACTGTTGCGTGCGTAGGCGTTATTAACAGATTGAATGTACACAGAATTGATGTTAGCTTGATAAAATTTATTTTACCAAAAGAACAATTCACAGTTCTGGACCTTTTCACAAAAATACTCGTACAGCTCTTCACAGTATCACAGAGTATAGTCCGTAGTTAAACTTCAAACTAGTAAGAACATGAAACACAACGCAATGCAAAGCGCATCTGAAAGACGAAGATCGCACGGCTATCTCAATACTCCGAATCCAACTCTGAACTAACGAAAACTATTCAGAAACAGATGCTCCTCCTGGCCACCGAGAGATTTCTCTTGGCCGATGAGAGATTTCTAATATCTTTCCCTTTTCGAAATTACTGGAAGGCATATGAGGGCCGAATACGGTTACAGCTACATACAGCATCAGTTACAGTTATTCAGTTACAAAACGTAATACAGTTAGTTAAATAGGGACCGGACCAAAGCGTCGCTAAAGGGTAGCCAAATTTGGCGACTTTTAGCGATTTCTCGCCAAATTTTGGTACAATAAGTAGTCGCCAAAAACTATTGCTAGCTTTTTGATATCTCGCCAATTTAGTGAGATAGCCATTTACTCAATGTTAAATAGACTTGCCTCTGTTTTATTACTTTTCCGACAAAGCTTCGTTTCTTTAGATTATTATGTTACATCATACAAAAAAAGTACTACAATTTCACTAAACTTATTTACATGCTTATAAAATTCGTAAAAGTATATTCGAAACGAATGGAAGTATAACGTGCTTTTCTCACAATATGTTACTGCCAAAAACAGTTACCGTATATTCTGGTGCATAACGCATACTTTTAATACAAAAAATAGGATAGAAATTTACGGATGCTCGTTGTACTCCGGATGATATGAAAAATGATAGATTTAAAAATGAGGAAAAGATGAACATGCAAAAATTATATTTCTATATGTACCTAAATGCTGTTTCTGGCGATTCTGGTGATGTTGTATGACGATGTTCGCAACACTTTCTTCTAGAATAGGCCATTTCGTTACTCCTTTATGCAAAGCATATTTATTCTTTTACATAATAATTAACGTAATTTCATTTTTCTTCCATTCACATATGGAGCTTTCATCAGCACCAAAACTTTTTGCTGCAGCATGATTTCCATTCTCTTGCGCCAGTTGAATGACTGTATTTGAAACAAGCACTATGTTCGTTTCGTTTGGCTGCAGCCATATTTATTACTAAAAAGGAATACTAGAACAATTATATTTGAACTAAAGCAAATGAGATTTACTAAAGCCTTTGATGTTCACTTCAAACTCACGGCTTCATATGACTACAGAAAGAGAAATCATCGGATTCTAAATTCCACAAATTCATTCGGATCAGAAGTCCATCCATATCCCAAATTATGTCCCCCTTTTCGCGAAGCCCCAGAATAACATTCTTGCGCACACCTGCATTGAGTACAACCCACCTTCTTTACAAAATCATTTACTCTCTCATGCATCTCCTCCACACACATATATTGTTTCCCTTATGGCTTGTCGTTTCAGTATACTATTGTTCGAAAGTCTGGGAAAAATCTTCGAATGAATGACTTCAAAAAATAAGAGCATTGCACATTTTATCTTTCAAGCTTCTTCGTAAGGAAAAGAGTTCGCATCATACGGCGAATATACCTAAAAATTGAAACATGTAATTAGAAATTATAGGTGCGCGTTATACACCGATGTGCGTTATAGGCCGGACTATACAGTAAATCCTAAAGTAGTTATTTTTAAACAGTGGATGCTGTGCTAACACTTAGTAATCTAACATTGCTAAAATACTACTAAACCGATAAAGGCACCTATCATTATTTGTATACACTGCGTCATTTGTAACGCAAAATGATTTTATGAATGCAGTGTTTTCGTACTTCAACTATTTGAAATTCTTAATAATGAGATATATCAAAAAGACACTATTAAAACTTTATATTAAATTTCTGTAAAATTATTTCAAAGTGTTTTGGAGACTATTTGGCATTTTTAAGGCAGAAAAGTGAAAAATGAACTTCCCTCAAGAGCATATTTAGGATAAATGTTCCAATTCTTTATATGCTCCCTCCTTAACAAAAGACTTAGTGCGACGAAATCCGATCGTAACGAATTATTACTGTTCACGACATTCTAATTTGGGAACCACTACGAGACTTAAAAAAAAATAAATAAATAAATAAAGAAATTAACTGTACTCTCTTCAGTTTAAAGCACGAATCTTGCAATTTGCTAGCTGGATATGCATACCGTAAAAATACGCAAGAGAATAATTCCACAGTTCCTTTCAATGTATCGTCAGGGGGAACTGTAAATGTTTTGGCAAAGAGTTTGCATTTATTCTCATGAAAACAAAATATAAAATTCTAATTAGTAAATATTTTACTTTTTACAAAAATAGATAATACAAGTACTTGTAACTGAAGGAAAAAATTTAATTAAAAATAATCTGATGTGTGCATCACATGATTTCCTTGCACGGAATAATTAATTATACGCATTTTTTCTTGCATTTCATTTAAAATTATTGGATTGAATTAAATCTACTTCGTCGATAGCGCATAAACCACAATAGAATAAATGCACTCTTTAAAATTGTTATGTTTGTTCTCACTCAATTAATTCAGCTCTCACTTCGCGACAAGGCAAAAATACAAAACTACTCAAAATATCTATATTAAACATTACGAAGTAAATCTTAAACACTTATTTCCTCGAAAAAATTCCAGAAAGGATTAAGCATGAATTAATTCGCAATAATAAATGAAGGCGTTATTTTTGTTGTTGCGAAGCTACGTTTCTCTATATTGGCAAAAAAATCTACTATTCTGCTGTTTCGAATGTAAACAAACATGTCCGCCATGTTATTTAAAAATTAGGCTTAACCGTACTTAAACAGCTTTTAAATTGTTGATATTTCTACAAATATTGTTTGCATATTTCCTAAAGGCATGAAAAGCCTTAACAGGAAAGATAAGAACAACATAATTCAATCATTTTTAAAGCAAAAAATGCACAATTTACAAACATATAAGAGTAAAGAAACTGAGATCACTGAACCGGGCAACAAAGTGGATATATATATATATTTGTATATTTTATAGACGTTCGGCACGCCGATTTGCAACTAAAAAGACGAGGTGCACAACTACATACTATAGCAGTCCTATATACAAAATTTTCAACGTGGTCTGAGGCTAACTCGTTTTTGAGTTATGCGAGATACGTACATACATACATATGTACGTACGTACAGATGCCACGAAACATTCTCATATCTGAATCCATTTTGAAAGCAGTCTCATAATGTTTTTTGGAGGAAAACAGGAGGCCTGTTATTCTGTTCCTTAACATACAGACTTCATTGCAAAAACATCGTTAAATAGCATTCGATAGCGGTCAAAATGGCTATTTTCGTTGAAATATGCTGCCTGAAACTTTTCGCGATTACAATACTTCCTTTTTACTTCGTACAAGGAAGTAAAAAATTCTAAATTTTTTTTGTCAAAAAAATTAATCACAAAAACTATGTAAAATAACCAGTAAATTTAACTATGCAGTGCAATTCATGCCAGAAGCTGCCGAACATTATTTCCTTTCCTTTTCACGTCGGTTTATCTTCTAGGACGGTCTCATTCTAAATATATAGCAAGCCAAAAGTCCTCTCTTGTGGTATGTTGGTAAGTAAGAGGAGTGGAAGACCATCGATCCGTCCATCCAAGTAGTTTCTTTTGAAACTGAGGCTGTGGGAGCAGAAGACATGCTCTCACGTTTATGGTGTTCAAGGCTCATGTCAAACGACAGGTTTCTTCGAAGGCCCAGTGGACTAAAACGGTTAGCACACTCGGACGTGTTCGAGAGGTCCAAGTTCAAATCTCGGCAAGGACACTGCACATTTTTTTATTATCCTGCTTCAAAAAAAGTCCTAATGTTTCTACAACATCAATTTCAAAAACATTTTTACATAAAGCTTAAAATTAAATCCTTTACAAATGATATCATTTAAAGAGGTTGTCATGAAATCTGACGTGTGTTGTATAGTCAAAGACCGATGGTGTGTGTATTTAATTATGGCAAAGCACACTAGGGCTATCTGCCTATGGGAAGGGATGCCTTCGTGGAGGACTTTCTGCGGGAAACTGGCTCGTATACACGTTACACATGGAGAAAACCACGAAAACGCCCATGCAGCCAGCCCGTTCGCGGGATTCGAACCTCGGACCGAACTACCAGTGTTCAGCGACTTTACCGCTCGGCCGCCGGTGGGCCGTCAAAGACCGATGGAAAACTAAACACGAAACTTCATCCCATCATAATTATCAAATTTAAACGAAACCAGAGGAGATACTATTTCTTAAGAAGAGAAAGTCTAACGTAATATGACATGCAGCACATATGTTTTTCTTGGACTGAATAAAGAAAATAAAAAGAACAAGGGACTCGCAAATTAGGCACAGATGTTACAAAGGACTCGCGTGAGCTCTCATGAGCCTCCTACAGCTCATCGCTGTATATCTATGACATTCCTGAACAAAGAATTCCTCTTCGTATTTCAAAAGTTTGGAAATCATAAAAGTTGCTTTTACCATATTTCAAAACTGATCTATCAATAATTAACTTTAAACTTTAACAAAAGTTAGATGAAAAATGTTTTTACCTTAAGTTTCATTGGGAAAACAACAAAAAATCATGCTCAAATTACCGATTTTTGCTCTTACTCTTCATATGCAATTGAAAATATTTTACTGCGATGTATCTGTAATTCTAGGTAAAATTGGGTTCCCATTAACAAAAACTTGCTTAAATATTTAAGCAGTTTCAAAGTTTATTATATAAGAAGCTTTGATCGTGATTTTAATAGACTTGTATTTTTAATTATTAAGGGATTGTAGTTTTTAATTTTATAAGCTGTAATTGTTTCTCTAGATTTAAAAAAAAAAATGAAGGAAGGAAAATAAATTAAAAACTCACCGATGAGTCTGAATGTCTCCCAATGAGCTGATGGGGATCCGTGTATGAAATGCAAAGTTCCGTGAGTTGTCGATAGACAGTAATGTTTACTGACTTCCAAATAAGAAGCATCCGTAACTGAAAAGGAAGCTATTCTGGTCTTCATACAAGTCGTATGCAGTTTCTTCTTTTCAGAGCAGAGATCCCACTTGAATTTGAATTCATCTTGAAGATCACTGTTGCGGAATATCACAGTTCCTTTCTAAGCATTGTATCAAAAATGATATTAATAAATAGCTCATTGCACTAACGTAATAGACATAGATCATCAAAACATTTTAACCTAATGTTATGCAAGTCCTATCGCAGCTAATTTCATTATGCTTACAACTGTTAGCAAGCATTGAGAAAAGTATCAAATCATTGGAATGAAGACTATCAGAGAGACATACAGGGGTTGGACAAAAATATGGAAACACCTTTAAAAAAACTCGTTTCTTTGCTTAATATGGTGTAGAAAACCCGTTGGCATGAAAAACAGCTTGCAGTCTTCTCGGAATGGATAAATACAGTTTCTGTATGTTTGCCAAGGGAATATTATACCATTCTTCCTGCAAAACGGTGGCAAGTTCAGATAACGATGTTGGCGGTGGATAACGAGAATGTACTTTCCGTTTCAATGTAGATTCAAAGGTTCAATAATATTCAGGTCTGGTGACTGTGGTGGCCAGGGAAGATGGGACAACTCATCCTCGTGCTCAGAAAACCAGTCCTGGACAATGTGAGCTGTGTGAACAGGGGCTTTGTCGTCTTGGAAGACACCATCACCATCGGGAACAAAGTTTGTACCATGGGATGAACTTGATCGGCCAAAATGTTCATATAAGTCTTGGCAGTCATGTGCCCTGACACAGTATCATGGGGCTAGCAGAGAACCACGATATGGCTGCCCAAACCATAACAGAACCCCGCCATGTTTCACTCTTGGCAACAAGCAGTCTGTATTATAGGCTTGAGATGACGTTCTCCAGACGTAAACTCGGCCAGAAGTGGGAAACAATGTGAAAGAAGACTCGTCAGACCATATTACTCGCTTCCACTGCTCTATAGTCCAGACTTTATGACTTAAACACCACATTTTCCTGTTACGGGCATTAGCATCATTGATGAGTGGCTTCTCAATTGCAGCACGGCCAGCAATTCCCTGTTTATGAAGCTCCCTTCTAATTGTTTTGGTACTCACAGGGTTCGGTAACACACATCATTTCAGCAGTAACTTTTGCAGCTGTTGTCTTCTTATTTTTCGTCACAATTGCCCTTAATGATCGTCTGTCACGATCACTCAGGACACACTTTCGTCCGCGCTGTGATTTAGCAGATGATGTTTTTCCGCTTTTCAAATATGCGGAATAAATCTTCGATACAGTACCTCTTGAAACACTAAACATCTCGGCTACCTTGCTTACGGAAGCACCTACCATACGTGCTCCAACAATTTGCCCACGTTCGAAGTCTGTTAACTCTGACATAATGCAATGACAACCTCACATAACAGTACTCCGACAACAACTGAACTATTTAGCACATTTACGAAGTTGTATAGGTGGCGTCAGTAGTCAAAAACGCCAGCGCCACCTACATATTTCATTAAAATCAATCTTTCTTTTCAAACATGCATTTCACAAGGTGTTTCCATATTTTTGTCCATCCACTGTAAAAGAAAAGCAGTAATACTTGCTAAATAATTCCCGTCAGTTTATTTTAGTATGGGAATTCCTGCCTAAATCCTCAAATTTCTCCAGTATTAATTTTGAAATTTTCAAAATTTAGTTTCATTAAGGTCATTCGGGAATTTTAATTAAAAATGTTTGAAATCCAAATTAACAACTTTTTTTCATACTTCAATAGTATTGATTTTACTGAAATCAACGTCACGTATTTTATGCATATACTACAATGCACCTGCTTCAGGTCTAAATGTTTCAAGCAATTTCAAAGAAATTAAAAAATGATGACTACTAGCAATTATTAGTCCAAAAGGCTTTAATCCTGAATGTGAAATGACTATTTGCGTTGAAACACCAAAAACGGTTCATCACTTTTCAAATTGTTGCCATCAAACATAATTGCCCTGTATTACATTTAAGGAAATTAAATAATGAATAATCTGCATGAATGTATGCATGTTTCTCGCACTTTGAAAAAACAACATTACCTAAAACCATCAAATTTTCAATAACGTAGTCTTCCACAAGAACATGGGCACCTGGAAGGCCGAATTTTCAATTTTAAGTTTGTTTTACTATCTATTTCATATTTCTGTAAAGCTTTAGCGAATTTTCGATGAACAAACTCGACGATTTCAAAGTGAGCAGTGGAAACACTATCCAAAAATAAAAGACATTTTTATTTCCAGCACGCGAGACTGTCTACCGGAAATTCTAAAGATATGCTGTTTTGAAATATTTTGTGATTTTTCTGTTGAATCGGATACAAAACGTTAATAACAGGAAGACGAAAAAAGTTTATTATTTTGAATACAACATGCAAAGCGGACAAGGATAATTGCAACAAATGAGAAAACAAAATGCGTAGGAAAAAAAAATTGTCCTTGTGATTGATTTAAGCATTCTTAAAACTCGCTTTACCAGAACCACTTCGACTCCGACTATGTTTTTTCTTTTAAATGCTTTTTAAATTTACTGACATTTTGTGTTAACTGGTGAAATTGTGTAAAAAAAGAACATTACATCAGTAGCTGAGTCTTAAGATTTATTTAAACATGAGAATTAAGAAAAATGACTACATATACTCTAATGGCAACTAAAGTAAATGAATTATTAAAATATTAATTTTTTATTTCCTGTAAAAATAGAGAATTTCGGCACAAAATGCATCTATTTGGGGGAAGTTCATTACAGCACTTAACTTACGGAACTTTTGTAAAATAAAGTGAAAATGCATTAATGCTTATGTTGCTTATTAATGCACTTACGTTACTTATGCATTTTTTCTTTTTTTCCTACCTTTTACTTTACTTGAATATTAATCACCACAACGGTGATTCACCAAATGTAACAGTATTTTCTAAATGCACCGTTTTGTCCATCGCATGTAAGTGGAAACGGGGATCTACAAGAAGCGTAGTTTCTGTACTGAAAATGTGGTTTATATTAAGTGTGGATTCTTTGAAAATGGATATAAAATATTAATGTTATACTGAATTATTTAAACTAATATATATACTTTTTGAGGATCTCAGCTCTTTTTGAAATTAGTTCTGATATTAAAAATTAAGCACTGTTTAATCTTATATTTTTGTAAAACTATTCTGTGTTGTTCAAGGGAGGTTGAAACGTTGGTCTTCTTTTTCAAGGAAAAATATCTTCTATACAGAATACGCAGTGCATCTAAGAAGTCTTAGGACTAGATTGTTTAAATCAGTCTCGGTGGACCCTTAGTTGATGACTTTTGACGGTAATTACTAATGTATCACAACTTTTTCCTTAAACATACCGGCACTTTAAGGATAAGAAATTAAATTGAATTTTTTGTTTGAATTTATACAACCGATGTCTCTTCAAACGAAATCAAATGAAAAGGAATAATTTTATTGAAATGGCAAATAATTCCATACGTTTCAAATATATTAGACAATGGGCAAATGTCGATACTTTATTTACAACCTAAAGATAACTTTATTTTTAGGGGAACTGACCCGACACTATTTTTAATATGACTCAGAATATCTTTTAATGGGTTTTCAGATTGATCTAGAGAGCAGGAGTTTTATTTAAAGCTATGATAATTAAAAGAAAACATGTTAGTTGTACAAACATGCAATTGTATGTTTATATTATTTCACTAGAAACGATGAATGAAATAAAATATTTTAGCATTATTCTTGATAATAAGTTCTGAAAAAAACATCCATACTCTGCATTTATCCAAAAAAGTATGAAATTATTCTTAAAAGACTTAATCGTGTCTCTTGCAATGCTTTTATCTTAAAATCTACGTTATTGGTATGATTTATAAACAAGACGTAGTTCCTTTTGTTTGCTATGTTTCTAGAATGCAGCCTTTATTAAAAAGAAAGATTAATTTCCGTATTCAAAGAAGAATTCTCCGAATTCACAGACTTCAAAGGAAAATTTGGCTGAGAGTTGCGCGTGATTACAGAAGCCTGTTTTGCAACTGCGAGGCTACCCCCCCCCAACTGATCTTCATGCTTACATTAAAAAGATATGCTCGATAATAAGGTATAATCTGAGGATTTTCCTCACCCTACTCATCGTTTTTCAATTAAAACGTAGAAAGCGTAGTTTTCTTGCTCGAAGTGTGTATTATATTAAACACGAGTTCTTTAAACTTCTATTTTGAAAATTTTGTAGTTTTCGACAATCCCGTCAAGGATATTTTCCCAGTTGTGTGTTATACAGATATCAGTAAAACTCATAATCGATCTGGAAGGTTACCAGAAGAAAGGTTTCAGTTCTCAAAATTTTGATTCCAAGTTCCGAATTACTTAAGTCAAAGTTTCGATTTAGGTTTCGCATTAGTAACGTCATCAGCATTATTAAGTCATATCTATGGATTGATCTAGAAATTATTTTGATGCATTGCAAATGCGAGGAGGGGAACATATAAAAGTCTAAAGAATAAATTAATAAATTTATTGCTAATTAAATTAGTAATTTATTAGAGATTTATTTTTTATTTTATGTTTTACACACATATGCGCATATATATATATATATTGCATATTATGTGTATCATTAACTATGTCAATCTTTCAATTTATCTTGCAAAAATAAATATGCACACCTCCAACAGTAATCTAGATGCTCTCTAAGGTGCAAAAGGGTTATGGATCCCTGGCGAAGAGGATGCTATTGGTGAAACATAAGATAACCACCAATTCCTCTTGCTTTGTCGTCTTACTTTTCTTGCGTTTGCTTTGGCTAAAAAATTTGACAAGGTTGCTAGTCTGCGAAAAACTCCCCAAGCCTTTCCCTGGTGTCTGAGGATTTGTTGACATTCACAGTTCTGCCATGGTTTTGAGGATTTGGGTAGCTTTGTTGAAGAGTGAGTTCCTGATGGGTTTTTGCTTCTCAAAAGAAGGAGTATAATGAGCCCTCTTTTTTGAAATGAATAGTGTTTCCTCTGTTAATTCTGTATCAATCTAATGATGAACTATCCCTAATTTTTAATTTCATATTGCGATGCTTCTCTTAGTTCTTAATAATCAAATATGATGAATGGCTCTTTAGAATTTGATTAAAAAGATCGCGCCCGCCGGAAAGAAACTGTTCCCTTAGTATCGGTAACGAAATTAATTTCTGATCTGAAGAACTATTAAATATTCCTAAGTTAGCTAAAATAAACCCAAGGCTTCCGTACCGAGATACATAATATAAGAATTAGAAACATTTTGAACTAATTAAAATAATCCTGCAGATTCTTATAAAAACAAAATAATTCTGTATCATATGTAAGACAACATATTGCATTAAAAGCATCTTTTATTAACTACAGCAATGTTTCAATTGTTCATAAAATTTTTCAGTTTGACATAAATTACAAATTAAATCTAATCCTTAACTATCAACAATATGCTTCAAACACAAACAGGTCTTAAAACAAGCAGTTTGTTACGTCTTAAACGTGTCAAGAATCAAGCTTAAGGTTAACAATAACATTTGAAGCGCAGGTTCATAAAGATCTCCTTAATAATTTCATCAGATGAACAGGAAGTAAACCACAGCTCGTAGAGTAAAATAAATAGTTATAAATAGCTCAAGAAGGAAACACCGATAAACCAAATTCTCTTTAGCAGAAGAAGAATATCACAGATCACCAAAATTACTCACAGAACAAAATCTAAAGTAATAATTTCAGAGCAGAAAATGTAATCAGACGATTATGAACTGAACTGTTCAGATGATTATGAACTGAGATATCTGAGGTAAGGAATACTCGGTTCCAGTGCCAGCCGTACTTACAAGATTGCGCAGCATTTCTAGAAACTGTCGGAGAAATCCCTTTGATCGATTCAGAGTTACTCAGTTCTGCAACATGATGCACAAAACAGACACTTACAAGCACAATAGGTGGACATTAAGTCGGTTAAATAAAGGTATACAATAAAAATTACATATTTCGTAAAAAGCACTAAATAATTAATTAATTAATAAAAACAAGTAACGCTATTAAAATATATTAAAACAGAAATGCACTGAAATAAATACAAATATTTACATAAATTATATTAGTATTAATAAAAAATATATAATTTCCAAATATAAATATATAACTGTAACTTACCTGCCCGATAAATAAGTAGGAACAGAAATCGGTGATGTCCAAGATTTTAACCACCTGTTCAGACTTTAGAACAAAATATAGACTGCATTAGGATGAGCATATCATAACAATATTGTATAGCAAATAAAGAAAGAAAGGCACAAATGGAAGCTAAATGCTTTTAAAAAAACTCATCTGTTTCGTTTCTATATCTGTATCTAACATTAGAATTTGAGAAACAGATTATAGCTATAAGTATCAAACCTTCAAACTATTATCAAAACCTTCACAGTTTCTTTTCCATATTAGAATTACTTATCTTTATTTTTCAAATGGAGTTCAAATGTAGTAGATTTTCCTTCTCCATGTGTTTTAATTTAAATCAGAAATAAAAGTTTTAGAAAGAAAGACATAAGGAAGACAGATAGACTGAAAACAAAATTTCTTATTTCAAACAATTATCTGACTTATAAACTCAAAGAAAAGTTCCTTAAGGAAGTCAAACGCAAAGTAAAAGTTTTAAAACGAAGACATATTGAACACCGAGATAGACTGAAAATAAAATTTCTTATTCCAAACAATTTGCTGACTTAGAAACTGAGAGAAAATTTCTTGAAGGAAGTCAAACGCAGAGCTTTAGTAACAGAACTTTATAACTTAAGACAAATCTCCAAGTTCAACCCCTTTAATTATTTCACATTAATATGCAATTTATTGCACTTGAATACTGCACCTAAACTTATTTTTTGTCTCAGACAAATCTCTCACTCTTTTCAACTTTTCATTAAAAAGTGCTGCTGCAAAGCCAACGCGAATGATAATAAAACGTAATAAGAGTCTTTGGTAAATTAAAATGAGCAGATTTCTCCGAAGCCAGTTTAGTACAAGAAAATTGCCTTTATTAAAAACAAAAAGAAAAGAAAATTTTGAAAGTATTCAGATTTTAACGTCACAACAAAGGATTTATTAAAGTTTTTTATGCTATCATTGAGTTCGTAGTTTATCCTGATCTCGGACTCGCTCCTGCTGACCTTTTTTTGTCCTAATTTTATAATTAAATATCACTTTCTTCGCCCTTTCGTAGCATAAAATTCAAGAGCAAAATCGGGAAATAAAATAGCGTATCTTTAGAATTCTTAGTAAACTGTCAAATGTTATACATTTTTTTATATATATTCTCTGTATTATTTCTTTAAAAATTGTTTATTTAAAATATTTTTGGCAACGTTTTCTTGACTGTGTTGTCATTTTTTTTTCTTTTTTCAATCGCCGTATTATTTCTTTAAACATGGCGGTAATATTTTGCGGCAACATTTGAAAAGTTAAACGGACAGAAAAGCGAGGTTTGAGACTTAAGCACATCTGGTGCTAATAAAAAGTTAAAAAAACTATTTTGTTTTAAGCATAATCTCATTTCTAAAAATTAATATGATTAATTATTTTCCCTCAGTTACGTGTTGCAATAAAAACACCCAAACAGATCAGTATTCCAACACATTTTGGTTGTCTGTGAAGATGGTCTTCTCAAAGGCACGAATATCGGTGATATTCAATACTAATATTTATTCTTGTTGTGATAAATATTTCTCATTAATAGAGGTTATCGCTTGGCAGTTTTTGCTCAGCTTATTATCTGAATTATGTTGAACTGACGTTTTTAATGTTAGAGATTTGAGAAAAAAAAACATGATTATTTTGAATATGAAACAAGTTTCGCTTTATTTCAGTTTCATACTAGGATAAATGTTTAATTTTCAGGCATTTTATACCTTTCTAAATACGATATTTTACTGAATAATTAGCTATCACGTAATTATTTTTTAGAAAAATATTTCCTTTCAAAAATTAGATTTCTTGTCACATGTTAACATTCTACAGTATTTTTGTTTGCATTCCACAATTAACAATATATAATCCATTTAAAACTCTTTACAGGGTTTAATTCTATAGTCTATATTCCAAGTACGAAACGCGATATGAAGAGAAACCCAGAAATTCTTTGACAAAACAGTCTTTTTTGCAAAGGCCCACCAGCGGCCGAGCGGTAAAGTCGCTGAACGCTGGTAGTTCGGTCCGAGGTTCGAATCCCGCGAACGGGCTGGCTGCATGGGTGTTTTCGTGGTTTTCCCCATGTGTAACGTGTATACGAGCCAGCTTTCCTTAGAATGTCCTCAACGAAGGCATCCCTCCCCTTAGGCAGATAGCCCTCGTGTGCTTTGCCGTAATTAAATACACCACGCTTTTTTGCAAAGCTAGCGAGTTCCCTGAAAAACGGTATTATTCATTTATTGATTATATTTCCTATCCCATAAAAACATCTTCATGACCGTATGGTGAGGGAATAACGAAAATTCATGCCAATTATATTTACATAATCCGGGTATATTTACAAAATACGAGATATTTTCTGGAATACATCCTGAAATCCTGAAGTAGAACTTTACGTTGAAATATAGGACTTACAATTCGGAGAGTCTGATCTTCTTAATATATTAGTTATGTTCCCTAGGAGACGAAATCTACCATCTGACTCGCTTCATCGAGTTATATTCGTTAATTAATTGGAGCCGAATTCGCAATATTTCGTTGCGTACTTGAATAATTTTTACGGAGAGCGATTTTGTTACTTCTGTTTTTTATTTGTGTTAAATTCTTGAGTCCCAAAGCGCAGTTCAATAAATCAGTGTTAAAAACTTTAAAAAATGCATTTTGTCTTTTTCAGTATCTTAACAAGGGTCTTTCAAAATATGCTTTGCGAGCAAAAGAGAATCTCTCCTTCCCTCTCCGCCAATAAATAAGATTTCTTAGCTCTCTTATTAAGGCCATTGCTCTTAATCAAGAATTCGCGTAACACCGGTATTCCATAAAACCAGTTTAAATGTTCCAAGAAATAATTAAATACACAGTTAAAAATTATTACAGAAGAAAAATCGATACAATGTAAATTCGTTTTTATGGGATTGCATTCAGTTAATTAATTTAACTTTTTAGTTATATTTGTGGTACCTTAAATTTAATACACACTTAATTGCTATAAAAAAGACGTCATATATTAGGAGACCGAGTGGTAAAGAAAACCGGCAAATTACGTCACGGTGATTGTCGGGGAAGAGTCCTGGAGCCGAAAAGACAGCTCTATGTCGATCGCCGGCATGAAAGCGTTGCACATAGAACATGAAAACAAAAGAAAAACGCTCAATAAGTAAACGGTTGATAAAAAAAGGAAGTGCATGGAGGCGTTTGAAGGCCAAGGATCAATTCTGAGCTTCGAATTTAGAATTACCGTGCGCTTCCACTTTTCTCCGCTGGTAAGCCAGTTCATTTTCAATTTTACAATGTTATACAGTGTGGGGCAAAAACAATTAGACGATCTAAATTTGGTACTAATCCGATATTTTTAAAGCCTGCACGGTAAACCATATATCGCTGAGTAAAGCAGTGCAAAGCTTTTAGTTATCATGCAGCATTACTCGGAAGAGCATTGAATGTAGTTAGTTTAACAGAAAATTGCTGTAAATATCAAGGGAATAAAGGCCACAGTTTCTGGATTACTTTATAATAAGCTCATTTTCATCTAACGAATACATCAACAAGCGGCTTTTTTCCTACGAGGTTATTTGATGGATGAAATCTACCCCCATCAACCACATATTATACAGATTACATCCAAAAGGAAAGCCATGCTATTCTGGTGAATTTGCGAGGAAAGTCATGGATCATTCGTGTATCAGTGCAGTTCACATTTGAATTTTGAGCAGTCAGTGTGGATTATTTCACTGATTTCCAGTAATCGTATCAATTCGATTTTTTGTATTAAATAAATTTATACAAGACTTTCCTCATATTATTGGTTAACTATGTATTTTTCGCAATATTTTATTACAGATGATAGATAATTTCATCATAAAGAAATCTCATCTTGTTGTCATCGATGGTAATGCTACTGCAAGCATTATTAGAACTGAAGACAATGTGGAAGAAATTAAACTTCTGGAACCAACTCGAAATGTCAATCGCTTGTACGGCAAAGTGTACTTAAAATTCGAGTAGTTAGGTAATCTGTATTTCGGGTACAATAAATGCAGGTTGTCCAACTACCCACTGTGTGAAATGCAGAAAGAAACTTGCCGATAACGCCATCTGCTAAATTAAAGTGTCATTTTCAATTGAATATAAAATTCTTCCATCAAAAAATAAAGAATACTTCAAAAGGCTTTTGAAAACGCAAGCTAAACAAAGAAGGCAATTTGAGAAATCTGATATAGTGGGCTCATGTCCTCCTACCAATTCTATGTTAACATATGAAACAGGTAGAAGCGACGAGCTTTAAATAATCTATCACTTTCAATTTATCGTTCCTAAATAAAATATAATTTGTTTAAAAAGTTTATGCCTGAATGCTAATTGTAAAAAATACTCATTTTTCATTACTTTATTCTTTCATAAGATGGGCAATGATAATGATACGTTCTCATGTACACATCGGTCCTCATGCTTTAATTTGGAAATATAGCATCGATAATAGTATACCCTCTGATCATATATATTTTCGGATTCATAAATTAATGTCTTAATAATCACAAAACTTTTAAAAGCAGTATATCAATAGTATTCCCGATAGAGTATTAAGTTTTGCCATACATTTCTTTTTATATTCACTATATTATTTATATTGGCTACATTATTTCTCTAAAAATAATACATAGCGATAACATCTAACTGTAGTATCCTTTTATTTTAAAAGTGATTTAATACAAAAGTGAAACACAAAATTGAGGATTGAGGCTGATGCATTTAATTGCTTTTTAGAGACATTTGTATTTTTTAAAAACAGTAAGAAGTGAAAAATGAGCAACGCCTTCGCCGGGAATCGAACCACGGACCTCTGGAATACACACCCAGCATTCAGACCCCCACACCACGAAGGCATGCCAAGAAAGTGGAAGAAATACCTTATAGCTTCATTAATGAGAGCTCGTCTTCCCACTGTCCTTATTCTCGTTGTATTTAGAATAATTCCAAGAATACTTTTAGTGCTTGTAAATATAATATATTGTTCTTAATCACATACTTCTTTTAAATAC